TTATATTACGCCGTGATGACTGTGAGCTCCATCAATTAAAAGAAATTATCGAATATGTCAACAAAGGTTCGGATTAATGCACGGAGACTTGATCAGAGACGGGATGGCGATTTCGTTTTTTTTGGTCTCACTCCAAATTTGCGCGCCAGTAACAATGGGCAGTCAAATTAACGAATGTCGCGGAAATTCTTTTTTGTCTGCCAATTTATTTGAATTTTTGTCAGATCGTTGAAATTCGTATGCTTCATACTTATTCGTAGCTATTGAGTCGGGAGTGACGAGCACATGGGTATTTTTTGTGGCAACATTCATAGTTGTCACAACAATTTGAAACTTTATTTTTACAGCTTGAGACACAATTCTACAGACTTCCTTTCCTTAATGGATCTGCGCAACCATTTGTTCATAATTCAGCAGCTTGCACTTTGAATTCCGAGTCAAAACTCCGTCCTAAAATTGAAGAAAAATGTAGACCCTTATAATTACTCATACTCTACAAGTTAGCAGCTAATTCTCTAACCCTTCTTAGATCAAAATATCACGGAAAATCTTATCTCATACGATGATAATATTAATTAACATCTAGATGCGCAATCTATCGCCACAGATCTGGGCCTAAACTTTCAAAAAAAGTTAAGAGATCGTAAGTTCATCAGCTAATCATTGACGGTCTTTCAAGCAAAATCCACCAATCATAGACAAGAAAATAGAGCGTAAGTACTTACGTTCACTTAGCGAGTTTTGAAAGTATGGCCCCTGAGTTCTCTATTCGTTGATCATGTGCAAACTGTGAGAACTTTTCTAGCGTTAGTCATCGAAGCGAAGCTCTTCTTCATCGCCGGTAAACATTTGGAAAGCTGCTAATTACCGACAGCCGAGGTGTTCGCTGACGTATTCAGTCCCAAATGTAAACTCGAAAATTCTTTTGCAGCGATTCCCCCACTTTTGCATCTGAGTAAAGTGTGGTAAATCCTGGAATTTTAAACCTCATGTAGCATTGAATATGATGTTATAATTGGTGAGAAAAAAGGGTACTGTACTATAACAATTGTTATTCCCACAAACAAATGTTATTTTATTTTCAAACACGAAAATTTTATTTTAGCCTCGCAATGTAACCGATCAAACATTTTTTATATCATATTTTCAAATTTGAATTTATTTTAAATGCTTTGAATCATTATCGCGGTAATACAAGCTCGATACAAAGGAGGGATGTACAATGGGCTGCTACTGAAGGAATTCAAGATGACAATCATACGGCGAGCCCTACAGCAAGACTGCTCTGCGACTGAGCGATCGTATTTATATGAGAGACAATTCTGAGTAAGGGAGTCCCGGTACAATTCATCTCTCGGACATGTGAAAGAGATGCAAAACACAAGTGGATCGTCAAACAGAGCTCATCTTTGTGCATTTGAGTGCCCCTTGCCTGATAACTCTGACAAATCGAACTTCTTTGTCATGAATAGATTATATGATACGCATGATGGATAAAAAGTCTTCTTTGAACGCATAAAATTAAAAAGGAAAAGACCACCGTCGTTGAGAACATTTGCACTGTGCTGACTGATAGCAGTGACACTGATGAGGGAGTCAGCTCGTCTCGAATGCGACGAACTTTATCGCAGTTTATGTTTTGGGTTATCAATCTCATTGCTATGTACAATTAAATTTCTAATTTCCAATAAATTCTGGCTGCCATGTAATTGTAATTAATTACTTAAATTTATCCAATTTCAAATTTATTTTCAGGTACAGTTGCGATATATTATGTTCTGTAATGCATGAACGTTGCCCCCTTTTTCCATCTCAACAAAATATCTTATCATTTACCCAACCTAAGTCATCATTTAATACTCAAGATTTGACTACAAGCTGCACACTTTTTCGCATTCGGTACACGAGTCGTGAAATCTAAAGGAAAAATGATAAAAATGTCAGAGTATCAAGAAAAACTATAATTTTTACTTTTCAGTGATTAATTAATTTAATTTAATAATACAAATTTGAACTCTCCAGCAATTATAGAAAATTGGTGCATGATTTTCATTAAGAATCGTCCGAGTATTAGCCTGTAAAATAGCCAATAATAAATGTTTAATCCAGACCTCATTCCCGAGACTCCAGAGACGGACATAGGGATCAAGAAGGGGTTTGATGAAAGGGTGGGAGGTTTGGATGAAAAGGGAAGGGGAGGTTGGTTGGAAGAGGGGTCAGATATTCTGGCAGTAATATGTCCCTATCAGAATAGACACTGAGAAATAGGCTCCATATGTTGGCGCCAAACCGTACAAAATTGCGACTTGAGCTGTGCTCAACATTGACGCACACCCGCGTTGAATAAGGACCAATTGAAAGATGGACGCAGGCCACCCATGTTCTGATGAATTGCATCGCCGCGCCATTCTTTTGAATTTTCCCTCGCACGAAAATGAAAATCCAAGATGATCTTGGATTCCCGAGAAAATATTTCTTAGACGTTAAATTCTTTCATGTTTTTTACTATGAAGATGAATCTAAACTTGACAATTTTTAAATTCTCAATTTAATACATTACAATCAACGTATCGAAATTGAATTAAAATCAAATTCTTTATGCATTAATACATCGTGAATAAAACTCCTTATTCGGTGTTTAAATAATATAAATTCACATGTAAATATTTTTATGTGGTACAATTTTATTCCAAATAATTCTGGGTATAATTTTTAATCATAGACAAGAAAATAGAGCGTAAGTACTTACGTTCACTTAGCGAGTTTTGAAAGTATGGCCCCAGATCTCTTGCAATGCTCAGTCCGTGGCGATCGCTTCAATATTCGCAGAGCGACGGCCAATCTTAAGAGCCGTCATATGCAGCATCGCTGGCCTATCAGCTCTGCTCTTGGACGGTTAACTGGTCGCTTCCTGCATTGACTTCGCATTCATTTTCATGCAATTCACATCATGACACATGTCCTAGCCATATACTTTTACGTTTAACTCCAAGAATTCCGGCAAAAAATTTCGAAATATTCGTTTAAATTCGCGTTTTCATGAGTGGTGAATCCGGTTTTTATAGACTCGAACTAAATTTCCTACCTTGTTAATGATATATTTATCATTTGAAAATTTAGTCATATTAAAACTTTAATCTGATTAGTTTTTCAGGCCACCAAGTGATACACTTAGATCAATTTGATTGCTTTAACCAATCTTTCAACACAAATTCATGTAAACTAGAAAAAAAGATCAACTGGGTAACTTATCCATTAATAATCTTAAATTCAGCGAAATAATTGTTTCAGAGTAAAGGGTACAGTTTAGTGCCTCTCATTCAGCTTCCTTTGGTATTCATTTTTTTCCAGAATGTATTACTAATTCAAATAAGCTTTGGAACCTAAATAAAAAAGGTTTTCGAGATTGACATTAATTTGACTTGTTTGAGTCCTAGAGCACTAGTTTGTTCTCCTCAAACAATATAAAACAGTGAACATTCGAACTTTGAAACTACGCTAAGAAGCTAATGTATCTGACTGCGTCGCAGGCTTTAGTAGTAGGTTAATTGGAACACGTAAATATATTGTTACTGCTGACCAACATACTGTCACAATATTCTTCAATTTTTTGTGACTTTAATTTGTTAAACTGAAAAATCGTGCGCAGTGAGCGTCCAAGCGTTACGAGCGTGTATGAAATAATCTAATTTCGAGTTTTTGATCTTTGAACGCAGTATACAAAGGAAGGCCTATATACATGAGTCACCCTCGTAGAGGTTGTCAGCAGCGTCGACTGAACTCATCAGTTCTCTCTATCAGATTTGCCGATGCTATTTGCTGTAGCGAGAACACCGGCGACAGCAAGCGCATAGTGCGACGCTCCTCGCAAATCTCTCGGGAGTTTCTGATTTGAAAATATGACAACGAGGCCATATTCAATTGAGAAAGCACGCGCTCGCTGTAGTAGCTTACGATGGTTGTTATTCATCGACTGAACGTTTGATCTGAACAATGTTCTGCATGCAGTTTAGATTGTTTTTTTTTTCGGCAGCAGACAAAGCATGAGCACACAATGAAAAATATGCCTTCGATTAGCGATGAACAAAGTAAAGGTGCCTTGCGTATTTCACGCAAGGCAGTGTTTAATTTAGTTATTTCGTCTTTGATTAATAAAATTGCAGTTTTTTAAGCGTATGTTACCTTGAATCGAATGAGATATCGTTTGTTAATGTGAGATTACATAATCGGGTAAAATGATGTTGCAATAAATATTACATGTTTCCAGTTAATCCTTGCATTGTGCAATTGCAATAGATCGGCAAGAACTCGGTTTCAATACTTCCGATATACGTTTCTCTAGCCATTATTGACTTTTATACATGAAACAAAAAAAAATTATCTTATGGAGGCATCTCTTTTTCTTTGCTACATAATGCAACTCAGTCGTTCAACGTGAAATATAAGTAAACAAATATAGTTACTATGCAAAGTGTACTATGGATTTTTCATAATTGTTCCAGTATTGCCAATATTTATTCACAGGTGTTTGGTACTATTATCCAGTTTCGTATTCAATATATAACTAAATACTTGTAGATTTTTAAGTAAACAAATATAATTACTCTGGACAGTGTACTATGGATTTTTCATAATTGTTCCCGTATTGCCAGTATTTATTCACAGGTGTTTGAAACTATTACACAGTTAGAAAAAACGGTGAAAAAACGGTCGAACCGGCGTTCTAGTGGCCAGTCACCCCGTAAAAATAAACTGTTTCGCCGTTTTTATAAGATGTTTTACGGATTTTTAGTGTTAAATTAGAATAAGAATAAAAACGGCGACACGGTGTTTCTTTTCGCGTGCCTACCGGCCACTGAAACGCCGGTAATACCGTTCACGGGAATTTTTCTAACAGTGTATCTAGTTTCGTATTCAATATATAACTAAATACTTGTAGATTTTCTTCAACAGAGTTCATCTTATTTTTTTACGATGTTTCTTTTATACGCACTGGGCAGGAAACGGCCTATGCCCCGATGCACGAAATGGCCTCAATGCAATGCATGCTTCATGGAACCACTTTAAAGGTATTTAATCATTTTAGAATTTAAAAGATTATTATTATTATAATAAAATTAAGAAAAATTTCGTGTTTTTTTCACAAATGGCATCTCATTTCTTCTGCTGCCATTTCGCTTTGAACATTATTAATCGATACATGAATTCGTCTCTTGAATCCTGCAGATTAATATTTCACAGACATCAATTTTCTATCGGGCTTATTGATGTCTATTCACAGACATCAATTCTATGAATCTATTCATATTTTAATTCATATATTTATCAACTGAGCTCTGGAAGATGAAACTACGAAGGTGACAAACTATTTGGCTTCAAAGCGAGTTTTGTTAACGCAAAGACAATGCTACTTTCGTTTCTGCAGTCCGAATTTCAGCACAATGGATTCTTGTATATTTTTGTTTAAGAATTTATTGGTGCTTTTTTTATGTGTCTCACGTAGCATATTGCTTCGCATCTATTTTCTGGCCTATCATTTATCAGTCATTGACGGCATGGAAATAGTCTTTATCATAATATTATCGCCTTTCGGTCACTGTTTGGAGTCATTACGTCAGCGTGGTCAGGCCTGTTATTATGAATTTCGTTGCCATGAGCTATAATCTATGGAGTTTTATAGTCGTCATGGGCGAGTGTAATGGGTGGCCAGTCTGAGTCGTAAAATGCTTTACTACGTCCGCGGCCTTAGCAGATATACAGGCTCGTCCTGCAGCCAAATTCATGCCGATTTGTGAAATGCCTGCCTTACATCCACCCTTCAGTGGTAGGTAATCCATTTTTATGTATCTCAGGTTCAAATGACAGGTATTTAATTTTTAGGTTTAATTACATTACATTACATTACCCATTACAGCGACACTCAGGTTTAATTTAAAAACAAGAATTGGTGCAAATGTACCATGGTACATTTGCACCAATTCTTGTTTGAAAGATGAACGACCTACAATAAACTTGTCACCAATCCGTCAATATTCGAAAATATTAGGGGAAAAATTAACGACGAATAATAAAAAAAAATTTTGCTCCTTATTTTCTACTAAATACAATCTATTAGAATGAAATTTTGTCTATTTCTTTTCAAAGAGCTTGAGCAAAAATTTTCTGATTTTCGCTTGAGGTTAGAAGGAATTTTTTTTCTTTTGAATAAGAAATATGTAGTTATTTCCCTTGAATTTTGAAATGCATCAGAGTATATACATACAATTTTGGGAATCAACTCGCGAAGCTTGCATTAAGTGATTATTTTATTTTACTTCTTGTAGAACACATTAAAATTTAATTGTGTGCCCCCGCTTCCATTGATATATCGATGTTTTCTTGTAGGGAGTATTATGTCACATACTAAAAACATAAATCAAGCGAGGCTCCTGTATTAACCTGAGATATGATTGAAAATCAAATAAATTGGCAATAAAGTAATTTACCGGTGATGCTTATGCAAATGTGGACTTATATTACGAGTACTTCACACCTAACTCCATTACAGCGACCAAAATTACCAATTTCTAACAATGTTGAGTGCTCGGTAATGATAACTTCGTGGTTGAGATCACGTCGCGCTACAGCGAAGCTAAACTTCGACGAGCAATGACGAAGTCACGATTTTTTCGGCGAGCGTATCGATTCGGTAGCGGAAGTCGCTGTCATCCGTAGTTTATTGTACGACTCTTTAATTAATGGCTTTGCGCTCACAGTTTCGGTTATAATTCAGATCTGAGGGAGATCCCTAATGCCACTCTTCGATCTGTTTTTAGATTCTCTGGCTTTGAGCATGGACGTTTTTCACTGCGCCGTGCGGGTAATGAGTTCTGTGTGACTTGATTTACAGTCGCTGTTGTTCTCGATTTAAGTATTAAATGTATTAAGAGTGTTTGAGTATTAAAATCGCACGTGTTCGTTGCTCCCGAAGACTAGAGAATAGTCGGTCACTGTGACGGCTTGTCATGTAACCTCCATTGTTTGAAAATCATTGAATTTTATATCAATTCAAGATTCGATTATTATTTTTTGAATGAGTGTTGAAATGATTCGAATCATATTATTTTAAACAATTTTTTTACTTCAATGGTGAGCCAAGATAGCATTAGAAATTTAAATGCATCAATCTCCAGTAGAACTTACATTTCCACAAAGATATGCTAATCTCCATCCTCGATATTTCATCAAAATTAAAAAACAATTTTGCATTAATAAACTTCCATCAACTTCAGATCATATGCAAAAGTACAAAAAATTTAAATACATTCACCAAACCAGATTCGATTGTCTATTCAACACAGAATCATTGCACCTTAAAACATATATTGATGGCTTTTCTCTTCTAAATCGCCTTTTGACTGAAAAATTAATCGAATTATTTAATTTTTCAATCGCATCTTTGTGCACATAACGCACTGGTAGACCGGGACGCCCAGTCATAGTCAGGGCCTGTGCGTATCTTTGCGCACAAACGCACTATAGTAGACCGGGACGCCCGATCATGGTCAGGTCTGGTGCGTATATTTGCGCACATAACGCACTATAGTAGACCGGGACGCACGATCATAGTCTGCGCTGGTGCGTATCTTTGTGCACATAACGCACTAGTAGACCGGGACACCCGATCATAGTCAGGGCTGGTGCGTATCTTTGTGCACATAACGCACTAGTAGACCGGGACGCCCGGTCATAGTCAGGGCTGGTGCGTATCTTTGTGCACATAACGCACTAGTAGACCGAGACGCCCGGTCATAGTCAGGGCTGGTGCGTATCTTTGTGCACATAACGCACTAGTAGACCGGGACGCCCGGTCATAGTCAGGGCTGGTGCGGGCGAGGCATGCGTAGGAAATTTAGAACACAATGAGTGTCCGGCAACTGGTGTCCTCATCGACGATGTCCTGCCCTCTTCCGTCATAATTTTTTCTGGCAATTATCAGTATTTATTGCGTGTTTTCTTCCAATTTTATGACTATGTTGATGACAGGCGGCGGGTATAAAACACGCTTACCGCCAAGCCTTTCTTGGGCTTTGGCCGTATGCGTATTGTGCTTGAATCTGCCTTGCATGGCATTAAAAGTACATTTCACCATCACACTGCAGTACAGTTCAAGTCTCTAGTACTTTCCTTTTATCGGTTTACGTAAAATTTCCAGGGATTTTGAAATAAGAAATAGACACCTAGCGTTTATACCTTTTTTCCAACGTTTTTGTGAACATTACTTATTCGAACCATTGACTTGCATTCCCCTTTATTCTATACCAGTTTGAATAATCATGCGGTATTGCAAAAATTATCCTACTTTAATTAACAATTGTTTCATCGTCATTTAACTTACTTCCTTTTTGTGCTAAAGTTGACTCATTAATCTAATAATATTTACGAATTCCCAATGTATGTATAGCTGACGATAGTAGATCAGTTTAAACGTACTCTGTATACTTATGTGAAATAAAATTCGACAACAAGCCGACGAAGTTAGCGATTTGAAGTGGAGTCTAATATCGCCCGTGCAGACATCACGTCCAGCCCAATAGTCCACTTTAATAGCGATCTTAACTGTAGTATTAGGAAAATTTCGTAGAAGCCATGCGCCGTGGGAGAAACCTGTTAGTCCCATGATCACGTACTGGACGCTTCTTCGCCATTACGAAGCAATGGTGTGGCTTTCTCTTCCACGTTTAATATTTAATGTTCATTAAAACACTATTATAAAGCATGTCTTATAATGCATATCGGCTTCATTTTAAGGTTAGGCACACAATTATCCGATTTTAGCCAAAGCTTTTGTAAAAATTCTTATCGATTTTTTCTCGAATGTTTCTCATGCAGACATTGCGCCACGGGAGTTTTACCACTGCTTACCGCACACAGAAGCATTTAAGAGCTCAGCAGCCGGCAATCCAACTCGGAGATTTCATCTGTTAATAGTTGTTGATTTTTAACAACCTTTTGTTTATGAATTGACTCACCGAAGCAGGGATGGAAACTCATTGTTTCCATCGAACTATGACCACACGAGTGATGGCTGGATAAAACTTTAATTGTTTATATCCAGGCATTGTTTCGGTAATGTCTATATGACATTTGCATCAGCATTGGGTGGATATGCGACGCTGGATCTCGGATAGAGATAGCAAGGCGTGGCGTCGATAATGAAGCGATAAGCCAGAAAAAAGGACCTAAAAACGAAGGATTTCTTTGAAGAAGACCCAACTCATTAAGTTGAAAAGGTAACTGTGAGAAAAAAAATAGAATTTTCGAGACATTCAGTGTCATTTTTTGCATGAAAACTTAGCACTCATAATTGGATTCAGTTTGATATTACAGCTCAATCGATTTAATTACCTATATTCGTGGTACTGCCGCGATACCACATACCTACTGTATTGACGCGGGCATAATTCAATTTATCTTATTTTTTGTATTTGTAAAAATCATTGTAAACAATCATGAAAATTGAAAAATAAATTAAGAATTCATATGATATGATTTAATTTGTTCCATTAACTTTATGCACTTAAATTTTCACTTCGTAGACGACTGGCGGACATTACTACGATTATTACTACTCTTATATCGCTTTAGATGAGGTCGTCTCGTACGCGTTCGAGATGCGCGCATAAATCGTTCAACCGGCGGTAAAATTCCTTCCAGCTTTTCTCTAACTTTACTGATCGCAAATCACGCCAATCCAAGTTTAGGCGATGCATCTCGAAAACTTGGAGCGCTCGTCATTTTTAACGAGCGTGTCGGGCGGAAGTATTTGGTGATCACATCAGGCTAATTTGTTTCATTATTTCACTAGCAATTCCACTAATATATAGGATTGATGTTTCTTCATATAACATGAATTTTACTGCGGTCGCGTATTGAGAAAATTATACATAATTAAAATTTTTCTTTCAGAAAACGTACTATTGGTGGAGTTTTCACAACGGTTTAAAGTTAGATTCACTTGCCGTTCCGCATTGTTGACCCCATATTGTTTTTAAAAGCATGATTTTTTATAAACACGTTTAATATAATT